AGTAAGGAGCCCACACTCCTCACACCTGACACCAGTAAGGAGCCCATCACCCTCACACCTGACACCAGTGTAAGGAGCCATCACCCTCACACCTGACACCATTAAGGAGTCACACCTGACACCAGTAAGGAGCCCACCTCACACCTGACACCAGTAAGGAGCCCATTACCCCACACCTGACACCAGTAGCCCATCACCCTACACCTGACACCAGTAAGGAGTAAGGAGCCCATTACCCTCACACCTGACACAGTAAGGGGCTCACACCTCACACCTGACACCAGTAAGGAGCCCATACCCTCACACCTGACACCAGTGGAGTCACACCTGACACCAGTAAGGAGCCCATTACCCTCACACCTGACACCAGTAAGGAGTCCATTACCCTCACACCTGACACCTTAAGGAGGCCATCACCCTACACCTGACACCAGTAAGAGCCCATTACCCCCCACCTGACACCAAGGAGTCCATTAATCTCACACCTGACACCAGTAAGGAGTCCATTACCCTCACACCTGACACCAGTAAGGAGTCCATTACCCTCACACCTGACACCAGTAAGGAGCCCATCACCCTCACACCTGACACCAGGCCAAACTTCATGTGATCTTAAAGGTTAGAATCAAATAGATGTTAATATTACTTACTAGCTTCCCTACTGCCGCGATAATTCAATTAACTCCTCCGTTGATCAGTATATAACAGCATGATAACTTCTTTCACTTAAAGGGGGTGTGAAATTTATGTTGTATATAAACACACACACACACACACACACACACACACACACACACACACACACACACAAACACACACACACACACACACACACACACACACACACACACACAAACACACACACACACACACACACACACACACACACACACACACACACACACACACACACACACATACACACACACACACACACACACACACACACACACACACACACACACACACACACACACACACACACACACACACACACACACACACACACACACACACACACACACACACACACACACACATACACACACACACACAAACACACACACACACACACACACACACACACACACACACACACACACACACAACACACACACACACAAACACACACACACACACACACACACACACACACACACACACACACACACACACACACACACACACACACACACACACACACACACACACACACACACACACCTAATAGGCCCGTCTTCTTAACTTTTCCCAATTCTCACCCTACCTTCGCCACAGGGATCGGGGCCAAATTGAAAATGGTTTCCAACTTAATAGGTTAGTTAAGGAGTAGTAGGGCCCATGTAGCCTGCAACTTTACACGACTAGGTCATGCATACCGAGATAGGGATCATTTCCTTTGTCTCCTGAGTCCTGTTATGTGTACTTTCCTAGACCAAGAGAGCAGAAAAAAATGGGTTTATCTGTTGGAACAAATAAACTTAGCTTTGTGTGTACTCTAACGTAGCTTCTGGGGGCTATATTGTTCGTGTTTCTAGATATAAAGAAAAATCAATATGGTCACCTGAACAAAATATTCAATGATCAATCTGCGGACAACAAAGCACAGCCACCAGAATAAAATAAGAAAATCCCTACTTGTTTCACGACGCCACCAACACTGTTTTTTTAAATCTATTGGGGAACGTCCAAACAGTCTCGAGGGGTTTGTTTTTCCTCACAATTTTATCGCAAAACTAAATCATCCTCAACAAACTTTAGCAGCTTAAGGCGTATCCTCTCCATATCCACACATCTTGCCATGCAGTATTGTGGTTATGGAACTTCAAGTGAATTTTTTTTCCGATCCTTATGGAAGCAAAAAACCTTTACACGAGCTTCACTCCAGTCCAAGATATTTCTGGCCGTGCGCCTGGATAACATGATACACTCTGGTGGGTGTTGGGGACCACTGGTTAAAGGTATGGTAACATGATACACTCTGGTGGGTGTTGGGGACCACTGGTTAAAGGTATGGCACCATGATACACTCTGGTGGGTGTTGGGGACCACTGGTTAAAGGTATGGCACCATGATACACTCTGGTGGGTGTTGGGCACCACTGGTTAAAGGTATGGCACCATGATACACTCTGGTGGGTGTTGGGGACCACTGGTTAAAGGTATGGCACCATGATACACTCTGGTGGGTGTTGGGCACCACTGGTTAAAGGTATGGCACCATGATACACTCTGGTGGGTGTTGGGCACCACTGGTTAAAGGTATGGTACCATGATACACTCTGGTGGGTGTTGGGTACCACTGGTTAAAGGTACCAGTAGCCGTCGCACAGCTGATCCTCCAAATTTTAACTCTCGGGTTTTCCGGTCAACAAACATTGGCCCACAGCCCGCGCATGACCACCCACCTGCTCACCTACACACAAACAATAAAAAAATATAAAAAATAGTGTTTTACACATCCACCCATAGTGTACGGTACCTACCCATATCCTCCAACACTTACACACTCGTTAACAAATCTAAACACATAATACAGTTACACTTCCGTAATCATACCTAAACAGATACTGAAATCACATACACACACACACAAATTATAACAAACTATACGTACTCTATAGATTTCTTTTAAACTTGTTTCGCGATATGAGATTCAAGCAGAAGGTACAAAGCCAAGACGTATAATTTCGCTGATTTTAATAATGTTCAAAATACTATATTTTGCTTTCCCCGTTTTCCCGTAAAACTGATGAATAACACGAGAATGAAAATATGGATAGTTGATTGTCAGAAGCTTTCTCGGCCACTCTCAGGGAGTTACTTCCTGGGAGTTGAGTCTTGGAAGAAAACATTAGTGTTCCTAATAAAACAAAGCTCGAGACTGAATATTATTGGGTGATTATTAGGAGTATCGTTCTAAACTCCAATGTTCGCCATTCTTATCAAGTTTATTCATATATGTATTTTGGTATATTGCAGCAGACATCCCCTGCCACACGACACACAAATCAATAGGTTCGGATGTAACCCCACACTATATGTACGACTAATGATAGCTTAAAAATTAATCGGTACACTCGTTTTACATTTACGGGCGAAACAAGAAATAAAAACTAAAGTCATAAATCAGTTGTACAGTACGGTGCAGACTGGAGGGAGCATCACAGAACTCTTGTATTGGGGTCCGTAGGCACAGTGAAAATTTGGTTTTTGCCCTGTAAATTTAGTTCTCGTGTCCGAAGGTAGTTGGCGGTGCAAGAGCTTGTTGGCCAATCGTCGCTAAGTTAACAAAATCATCAACTAATCACAAGAGAAGGAGAAATCAGCTAATATCGATGTACGTGATAATTACTAGACGTACAGTCAGCCAAAGATGCACTGACCCCACCCTGGGACTCATACTTTTTGATTATAAATACAGTGCCATAAAAGATTGCAATTTTCCAATAACTACAATGCCACAAAATATGGAGTTACAGCCTCTCGGTTCAGGGAGAAGGAGTCTCACAGTAGGCTGGGCAGGTATAACGATGGGGTCCACCTGCCGTCGCCTCATCTCTCACGACTCGGGATCAGTTTCTTGAGACAGTTCATGCGTGGTGCTCCTTGAAGCCTCATTATCAGAGGCTCCTATAACGCTTTACCCTCTGTTCTCGTCAGTTACGATATTTCCAACCTATACAGCATTATCTCCCTTTCTACTAAATTTTCACTCGTTAAGACAAAATGCTGCAGCTTCTGAGAATGGGGGGGGGGGGTTACTACTAATCCTGATCTACAAATAAATACAAATTAATTATACGAACAAAATGAGAGAAAAATACGATCAATATGGTTTTTATTAATCCTCTGCGAATCGGTCAAATATTAAGCTGTGCTATGGCTTTACAATACTACTGATAAGAGTATTTGTTAAAGGTTATTATAATATGGTCGCTGATTTACAATTGATTATAACTTTTAATGCATAAAAGTTCTCAGAAATATTTGCATAGAATTTAAGTTCTCGGGTCATTGCAAGAAGGTGATTCAGGCAAAGAAACTACTGTAGTAGGACTTACAGTATCAGAAGGTACTTCCCCGTCTGGATTACTATCACCCACTGATCTCGAATTTATATGAGGATAAAATATTTCTCTTCAACATAATTAAGTCTACGTTGATATTTAGCCTTTCGTTTCTTCCATACTTTTGCATCGATATAATCAGATAATAGCTAATTTCGTTTCAAGCTAACAAAGCTGATGGAATTCTTTGTATTATCAATTAAATGAATAAATTTTTGACAAGCATAATTTCTCATCAACAGATTTTCATCTAATCCTGAGAAGGGAAAGCAATGGCTTGTTCAATGGACTGGTCATCTACATCACACTCCAAAATATACTCAGATCATTTTGAAGAGGAAAATATTAACAGGACAGGGCAAATTGTCATATTAAAGGCTAATGCAGTGCCAACAAGATTTAAAAGGTTTCCAAAACATCTTCAAAAGGTATATTTCTATTTTATGGACACTAAGTATGATGAATATGTAATTGTATGCCTGATATTCCTAAATCTTGGCTCATGTTTTTCTAATCCCCAAGCAGGGATAAATATTGTTCCAAATTCTGTAATATTTTATTTGGGAAAACTATATTTCTCAGAGCTATTTGGGGAAGAATTGCATTATTTGACTTCATTCCGGCTACATTTGGGTAATTAGTGGGACCGCCTTTCCCTTTCTAAACCTTTGCATTAAAATAACCCATTATAATCAAACTTACGGCGTCTTTTGCTTTCTTTAAATCTTCATAAGGTATGTAAAGCAAATACATGAATTCTGTTGGAGGTATATTTGTAACATAAGTTTTTAGTGAGTGGTGTTGTGTGGTGTTGTGTGGAGTGGTGTGGTGTGGTGTTGGCTCAGCTGGTGTGAGGAGCAGACGACGCCCCTCAATGGTAAAGTTCCCCATTGGTCTTCAAGTTCCTAAATATAATATAATGAAATTTTACACCGTTAGTACCAGAAATAACGGTCAATAACTTATGGAACTGAACTAAAATTTCTGGAGATACTATTTAAATGATCCCATGGGTGGATCTGGACCCCCTTTTTACCACTACAATACTGTACTTGATGACCATGGTGAGCCATTAGCATGAAATTTAGGATATTTTTCCCTAGATCAATATAGTTTTCTTACTTCATGAAAGGAGTGAGGTCAAGTGCAGTACTGTACTGGCCGTGCTGCTTCCTTCTTTACCCCGGAGACTTAGTGTACAGTGTGCTATCCACATTTTTCATAACGGGCAGCTATGTCAATGAGACCCACCTTCACTCAAGTCAAATAATGGTCCTAGATGAATATATCGGACTGCCAATCACTTCTCGACTAGTATTTGGTGTCACAAAGTCACAAAAAATTGGTAAACTTAATTTAATCTGAGTTAATAGATCGCATGCATGTACCGACGGAGCGACTAATTACCCAAATGTAGCCGCAATGAAGTCAAATAATGGTCCTAGATGAATATATCGGACTGCTAATCACTTCTCGACTAGTATTTGGTGTCACAAAGTCACAAAAAATTGGTAAACTTAATTTAATCTGAGTTAATAGATCAAGTGCATGTACCTAACCTAACCTAACCTCGACTAGTATTTGGTGTCACGAAAAGTTGGTAAACTTAATTTAATCTGAGTTAATAGATCAAGTGCATGTACCTAACCTAATCTAATCTAATCTAACCTAACCTAATCTAATCTAATCTAATCTAACCTAACCTAACCTAACCTAACACAACTCAGATTAAATTAAGTTTACCAATTTTTTTTTACTTTATGACACCAAATAATAATCGAGAAGTGATTCACAGCCCGAATTACGCTTGTACGACCATCATTTGACTTCACTGCGGCTACATTTGGGTAATTCCTCGCTCCCTCCGTACATGCACGCGATCTATTAACTCAGATTAAAGTAAGTTTTCCAATTTTTTGTGACTTTCTGACACCAAATACTAGTCGAGAAGTGATTAGCAGTCCGATTTATTCATGTAGGACCATTATTTGACTTCATTCCGGCTACATTTGGGTACATTTGGGTAATTAGTCGGACCGGGGAAAAGTGCACAAAGAATACATTTTACATAAGATCACTTCTATACAGTACAGTACACCTTTTATTTGCAATACTGTATGATTACTTTCTCTGTTCACCAGGGTCTGTGAGTGGTTCTTTCCATTTTTTTTTTTTTTTTAATTAAAGTACAGTTGAGTCTGGATTTACGCGGTTTTGGTTTACGCGTTTTGTCATTTACGCAGTGCCTTGCTAGAATTGAAATGCTTGATTCACGCTGCAAATTTGGTCATTTAAGCGGGAAGCGGCGTGGGAAGGGTGCGCACAAGGTTGCCCAGTCATCAAAACATTACCGAGTTCTTCACCTGCCTCCCACCACAGCAGGACCAAGTCAGTGATAGTGATAGTGAGGATATGGACTTATATGGACTTTGAGGGGTTTGACAAAGAGGCCCTGCAAGCCTCTGTGATGGATAGTGATACAAGTGATACAGGTGAGGGCCAATAATCTGCCCTCTGCCTCGGAACCAACCCCCCATCCCCGTGTGCCCAGCCATCTTTTCTACTAATGTAAGTGTTAAAAAACCTAATATTATTGATATTTCTCTTAATTATTAATTGTGTGTGCATACCATCATAAAATTAAGATGTGCTCCTGCCACTCACACAGTCATTGTGTTGCAGCCTGTGACTGTGAATACAGTACAGAAAATTCATATTTCTACCTTGACACTAAGGTGTTTTAGTTCACAAAATTACAGAACAGCATAATGTTGGAAACACGAAATCAAGAGGCAATGTCACACGATTTTGAAATACGGGTAGTACCGTATGTTGACAATGAAACCAACCAGGACATGCTCAGACACAAACCACTGTGGAGCTTCATGCAGTGGTTTATGGGTGGCTTAAGCAATAGAGAAGGGAAGGGGTGCTTATTTTTAGCCTGCTTTTGTGTGAAAAAAGCCAAACAATTTCATCAGAATTTGATAATGAAAGTGTAAATTGATGCATAATAGTAAAATAGTGGTGATGTATGTACACACAGCCCAAAAAGTATCTGTGCCCCAGGTGTCATACAAGATGACACAACAGATGTAATACTCTGAATAAAGATCTTTGATTGTGTTTCATGGTTGTAGCTGTGATTATCTATTACTATATGGAAAAATGTGGATATGCCACAGGCTCATGTTTCTCTGTACAGTATACCTATTTGTGTACATATGAGCATCATTTCTATACAGTAATCTCAATTTGACTGCCACTTGTGTTATAATACAACACACATTGTTATTATATTGACAAATTAATGATCTGATTGGCAGAATATGTTTTGTGGTGGTTATAGTGACCAGAGTTGTAAGAAGTACCGGACTTTGTTATTTAGTAAAAGTATTGTTACATTGGCAAAATGTTACTCAGGTAGAAGTAAAAGTATCCAAAGTTCAATGTACTCAAGTAGAAGTAAAAAGTACCTCATTCTTAAAGGTACTCAAGGACTGGAAGTAAAAAGTATCAACAAAATTATTAATTGTCTCAAATATTAAATAAAGTCACAGTAAATTAAAAAAACTAGTTAACTAAAGATAAAAATAAAAGACTCAAGTTTATTTGCAAATTTTTATATTAATATTAATCAGTAACTGAATCTCAAAATTATGGTTGTCCAATCAGGATCTTTTAGGCCTAAATATAAGGCCAGCATAACCTACCGAAAGAATGTGTAATTACTGTATAAGATAAGTCATTTTCATATATGTAAAATTTTGACCTTACAGGTACAGTACGTATTTACAATCACTAACACGTGAGATTATGTTATTATATAAATCATATGTGAAAGATACTGGTAATTCATATTTCAGTACTGTACATGTTACGTTTCAACATTTCAGGTACTATAACAACAACTTCTGAAATAAAAGTTTGGAAATCAAGACTTGTTATTATGAGTTGCAAGAAGCCAGACTTCATTACATCTTTAATGGTAAAGTGCCTTTGAAGATACTGTACTTATATGTTTACAACAAACTCATTAGTGGTGGAGGAGGGCAATGTAATACCTGACCTATACTGTACATGTATTGTGTCTTGTGTGTGAAACATTGTGTTCTTGTGTATGAGTAAAGAAGTGTATGTGTAAAAATGTAGATGTGTGTAATGATATTTTTATGTGAAAGAATATGTGGTGAAGTACATAAATGCATGTACAGAACAGTATTTGTAAAGGTATTTGTATGTGTAATTTTGTGTTAGTGTGTGGGAAAGGTATGCATGGTGGTGGTGTTGGGAAATACTGTATAGAGGAATAGCTATATGTACAGTACTTCAAAATGTGTTTATCCATTTACTATACATGATATTATTTTGCTTGAATGGCACTGAAGCCAATGAGAGCTTCTTAACCTGTGGTTAAACAATATTATGTCACCTATAAAATGACAGTACTGTACTGCACTGTAGTTTAGCAAATCAGAATACGGGTAAAGAAACTCAATCCATGCTGCTTCCACTATAAGTCAAAATAGCTTTTCAATGGCATAGTAAGAGGATTTTAAATATCCCTTCCCCCATGACCCAAGAGAGAATAATAATAAAAATAATAATAATAATAATAATAAAAATAATAATAATAATAATAATAAAAATAATAATAATAATAATAATAATAAAAACTCGCCACTTAAATGGATGGAAGAAGAGGGGAGACACCACAAACTTCGTAATGAAAGCTTCATTCCTACATCTGAAATTTTGTAAAAGTGCAGGATCTTCCAGGTACTTTGCATCCTGGACCTCACACCTAAAAACACAGACTAAACACTCATGCTCTATATTTGTCACCTATTAACCTCGGTCACCATCTTTATAATCGCCCCGTAATTTACAAGAGGGAACTGAAGGTTCAGTGACATATCATATATGAATACATTTCCCTAATATTAACACAAATGAGAACATTATCTTAATAGTAACACAACTCAAGCTGCATATCATCAGAAGTTACTCAATTAATATTCTTCACGTCCACAGTTAAACACAATAATTTCACACTTATTTGTTGCAGGTCTGGCTCGGACCGGAAAGTCTCTAGTGTGTTTAGGGCGATCAGTCGAGAGGTACTGCCGTATTGCTATCGTCCAGGGGCCCGGGTGAACGTCAAGCCAATTCAGTATATACACGCCTTGTTCCTCATTATGACATGGGCTGACTCACCATCGTCTCCTCGCCTAGTACACAACAACACTTTCTCATTACTCTTATCACTCTCTCATGATTGCTCTCACCACTCTTATCACTCTCCTATGATTACCACTGTCCAGCGGTAAAAATCATAAATACAGTAGTCCCCCATGAGAAATATCTGGCTCTGGACATATGCAGCTTCTTATATTTTCTCAAAATTTTAAGAATTTATTTATTTTTTATGTTAGTTTGTAGCATGGCGGGTCGTCAGCTCAATGCCCGCCACAACAGTTAATGCCTCATCAACCTTGTCTGGCCCTGAGTTTGAACTTGTATGTTTTGAACTGGGGTCCACAGGGCTACCGACCAAGCAAGACATTTACACATTGAATGGATATATGAAGATAAGTAACAAATGAAGAATCAAAAGCCTAAATGTCAGGGTGGAATGGGAACATGACAATATATAGTACAGTTGGTCCTCATATTACGCGGTTAATGTAACCCGGAGGGTACCGCGGAAAGTGAGAAACGCGTAAAGTGAATAACATAACATATGGGATTAATTGAAATGGAGTCCGGGCCGATCCCCAAACTCCACTTTTTGACGACACACAACTATGTTGTAGTAAAAATATTATCTTAACTTTATGATGGCATGCACACACAATTAATAATTAAGAGAAATATCAATAATATTAGGTTTTTTAACACTTACATTAGTAGAAAAGATGGCTGGGCACACGGGGATGGGCGGTTGGTTCCGAGGCAGAGGGCAGATTATTGGCCCTCACCTGTATCACTTGTATCAATTGTATCACTATCCACCACAGAGGCTTGCAGGGCCTCTTTGTCAAACCCCCCAAAGTTCATATAAGTCCATATCCTCACTATAATTATCACTATCACTGACTTGGGCCGGCTGTAGTGGGTGGCGGGTGAAGAACTGGTCATGTTTTGATGACTGGGCGACCTTGTGTGCACCATTTTCGCGCCTCTTACACAACATGGCGGATGGCGGGAGGTTTGGATCCAAAAATGGCGCGGCTTGCCAGCCGCTCTCCGCGTAATGGGGTTCACGACCGCGGAATGTGAAAATGTTAGGTTCTGGCAAGGCACCGCGTTAACGGTGAAACGCGGAATGCGGGACCGCGTAATATGAGGACCAACTGTATATCAGTAGATGAATGGAAGTAGGAGCTGGATGAGGCAACATATGAAACAGATCATGAGTATTTGTGTGTGAGAGAGGAATGGGTATGGAGAAGAGCAGAGAGATCCTCTAAAATTTATAAATACTGTATATAAAAAAATTATAATTACTGCACATACATATAAATTAGATAAGTACAGCGCAGGTATATCATCTATTAGCCATGGAGAAAGTCATTCTTAGTGCCCTTCGACTTTCAAGTTCAGATTTTACATTGTTGCAGTGGATCTAGCACACTTAACCCCTTGTACTGTATATGGGGTTTCTCTGTGCTGAATTAAATCGTCTGGCATTACACAAATAAGATATTGAAAGTGGGGTTGAAGAAAATAGTTTATTAGCTCCTTGTGTATGCTAATAAAATCATCTCACATTAGCCAAATCAAATATTAAAAGTCAAGTCCCAGTAGTGAAGGGGTTAAGATAGAAGATTATGAATGGCCATGTTTTTTAATTTTATGAGACACTTTGGATTTGTGAAAATTGTGAGAAGTTTAACTTTACATTATTCAGTTGTTGTGGTTTATATTTAACATGGATTGCCATACAGTGGGGTATGCTATAACGAACGGATCCTACTACGAATATTCCTATAACGAACGGTTTTACCTATAAAGTTGAGAATGCTATAACGAACGAAACTCCTACAACGAACATTATTTAAAATTTTTTTTTTTTTTTTTCTAATTTATTGTTTTTTTATTACAAATATTAATGATATTCTTTATTTCAGGGGTTTAGATGCATATGTATACACTTTTTTACAATTTTATATTATATTTTTCAGTGTTAAGTGGTTGTATTTGGGGGCCTGGAACGGATTAATCCTATAACGAACGAATGCTATAACGAACAAGGTTCTAGAACCAATTAGATTCGTTATAGCATACCCCACTGTATAGCTAAACAAATTTGTCAATTAGATAAAGTGCATACTTTTTAATTAGATAAGAGTACAATACATGTACAGTATTTACTGTATATCTAATATTTGTGTGGAAGAGTAGTTCATTAAAAAGGAATTATGTGTGTATGTTCATGGATAACACTTATGTATTATCAAATGATAGATATAGATAAGCAAAGTTTAATTTTATATTTCAGGCTGGTGGAATAGCAGGAATATCGGTAGATGTTGCACTCTTTCCTCTTGATACTATCAAGACCCGTTTACAGACTGAGGCAGGCTTTAGGGCCTCTGGAGGATTTCGTGGAATTTATAGTGGATTAGGACCAGCTGCTCTTGCCTCTGCACCTAATGGTTGGTTCAACTTATTGTTTCTATCACAGTGCTTCATAAATATGATTGACAAGTTTTTAAGTGTAGAGGGCAGTTATCTTTTTTAATATTATTTCCACTAAACAATATTTTCCTGGCACTGCTTGCTTTGCCTTTTAATATGTTATGTGATTTTGTTTAAGGCCTTACCCCTTCCACTAAGTAGCTTGTGTTTTACCCAGCAAGTCTTTAAGTTAAAAACCCAGGTAAAACCTTCATGTTACTCGCTGGTAATAATACATTGATAATTAAAACCCTGTGATTACAACCATGGCCTGTGAAAATGGAAAAAAAATCCTCTTTATATCTAAAAACACTTCAGTAATCATTGTACTGTAACGTGGTTTGGGTTTAGGTCGTGGAAATTCCACACCTCAGGTCACTACCTAGATCACTAATCAACCATAAGTAGGGATTCCCTGGGTTGTCAAATTTCTTAGGCAAGGTGATCTATGGTACAGATATGACTACACTTCAGTTCTGGCAGCAGAACAAAGCCAAGTTTCCATCATTAGTCAATCTAATGGTGTATTTTGCCATGATTTTTTTGTGGAAAACGTCCAACGAAAAAAATTTGATAAAAAAACCCAGCTAATTTCTGCCAAAAATGAAGGTCATATTTGGTCTAAACACACACAAATACACTAGAAAAATATATTTTTGACTTTCTAACAGAGAACAGTGTGATAATGCAAATTTACCATACACTGTTATTAATATATGATTACTTAATACAGTGGTCCCTCGGTTAACGAACTCAAATCTCCCAGAAATGTAACTGAGTAAAATCAGGACTACTGAATGATTATCATATCTATTTATGCAATTTAAAATTGTTTGTGATAAATTATATAAATAGAAAATATCTTATGACTGTGATTAAAACAGAAATTTACTCAGCTTTACTGTTTTCTCAGCTGCATTGTTCTTCTGTACATATGAAAGCATGAAGAAATTCTTGGGAGTCCACGTATCAAATCGTTACCAACCAGCAGTTCATATGATTGCAGCTTCATCGGGGGAAATAGTAAGTAAAGGTTGTATAATAAATAGTTCTGGGAGATCCATTAAATAATTTTAGTAAATGCTGAAATTATTTTCAAGTACTGTACAGTAGAACCTCGATAAACCAGACTAAAACCCGAATCTGGAAAATGTGAAAGTCCAAAAAAAGCAAATCTATGGGAGTCTGGACATAACCCTGCTAACCTGGACTGTTTCTGAAAAATCAAACTTAAGTCTGCTTGTTGATACAGGTGAACTCCTATAACCAACTTTCTGTTGAACGCCAATCCGCATAACCGACAATTACATACCCTGTACAGTGACCCCTCATTTAACGAACGCCTCGGTTAACGAAATTTTGGTTAACGAACTGCCTTCCATAAGGATCTTCAATTTGGTTAACGAACAAAAATTCGGTTAACGAATTTCTTACGAACCGACCTCAACATGTTTTTGCTTGCACTGACCGGGCAACCAGCTTTAGTATCAGTCCGCCAATACATTAATCGGTTCTAGGGCTTAAATTACTTACTATTTTAGTAAATATCAAGAAGTTTATACTATTCAATAATTTCAAAAGTTTAATATTCAATTTTTTAGTCATTTTAACAATTATTGAACATAATTGAAGGTAAAGTGACTAGTTTAATGCGCGGCATCCAGCCTCTTAACACAGCAAACAGGTGTTAGTTTCTCTCTGTTTTCACTGGAGGTAACATCTTGCTTGACTCTCTTCAACTAAACGCTTTTTTTCTGTGTTTCCAAGCAAATTATTGGTCATTTTGAAATATATTTTACATATTGACAATATATAATGCAGTGCAGTGTTGATTTAAAGAAAATAATCTTGAATTACACCAAGAGAGCTAAAATTTTATGGGTGAAATGACGCCATGGGGTGACTTCTCATCCACCCCAATGCCTTCTCTTCTTCCTTCTCCTCCACCCCCATTCTAAATCCCATCATCATCATCATCCAGGAGCCTTCTACATACACACCTCAAAGTAAGTGAACTTTTCTACCATTTTTGTTGAATTTAGGAAATTTTCGGTGAGCTGGAACCAATTACCCAAAACCCATTGAAACAATGGTTTCGGTTAACGAACGACCTTCTGGAACGGATTGAGTTCGTTAACCGAGGGGTCACTGTATAGGGAAAATACACCGTAAGTTTCGTTGATACCCCGGAGATCCAACGTTCGGCAGATCTGGTGTGGTACGAATTCTTGCCACCAGAGGGCTCTATGCACTGTTTCTGACTTTGTGCTTTTTCATTATTTCTGACTTAGTGTATTACTCAATCATGTCTGAACAGCCCAGTGATAGTTTCGCTTGTGTTGGGCAACTTCATGTGATGTGATAAGGCGTAATAGGAGCAGTGATGAACCAGCAAAGAGTGATAGAGTCTTGAACTTGCTGCCCTAGACCGTCTGTACCATCCTCAACACGGGTAAATAAGTCTCAATTTATGCATTAACTGCTTATTTAAGGCTTATCATCAGAGCCCAGATGTTATGGCAATTAAAATCTTTGAAAAAGGCAGGCAAATAGCACTAAACTATTCAAATATAGACAGCATAAAACCCCCAAAAAAGGCACCAACCATTATATTTATAAAATTAAAAAATTCAATACATATCTAAACCTTTTGGTTAACAGTGGAGTGGACACCTTTTATTTTGTACATTGTGCCCATCTAATTTTGCCATTATTCTCCAGAGCTGGAAAAATGAACAAATGTAGTTTGAATGTGATAGAAAAAAAAATAGATTTTCACTACACAACATGTCCTTTAACAGTAATACCTGTTTGTTAACAATACCAATAAAGTACCAGTAGTATGGTTACACAATACAGTAAAGCCTCGAATAATGACGTTAATGTGTCCTCCAATATTGCAGCGTAAGGTGAATCGTCTTATTGCGAATCATTAATAACCATTAAAATAAAGCAATAATAATGAGATGCGTTCCCAAGTGTGACCTTTTCATATCTTTTGTGTATAAATGAGGCAGAAAGACAGATCAGCAACCTGGGACTTGGTCACAATTTTTGTGATGCCATATGGCAGCAGTGTCTACCATTAGACAACACATTATGCTTCCAATATCTTCCCAGGCGGTAATACCTCCCTGTTTGGTAGCTGCCTACTACCAGCTTAACAGAACAGTGGTCCCTCATATTAACGATATTCGTCTTCCTGCCAAGTTGACATATGGAATGCATCACTCACTTCATTTGTCAGCTGAGACATCATCTACCCGAACGCCACCTCTTGGGCATCTGGTGAACTTCACTCCAGCCATTGTTCCTTCTTGGTTACCGGCTCCTACTACCACCTGAGATCCCTAGTCCGAGAATTGCTGTTCGACACCACAACTGCATCCAGCCCATACGTGCACGAACTGATCGCTATAAGAACAGCCCAGTCCCAACCATTGTAAAAATTATCAATAACTTGTAATAAACCAGTGTATTCACTCCCAGTAAACACTACTCCTTGCACTGTCACTATGTTGAAATGAACTTTAGTTTGAGCTTTTCCCCATCTAGTTATTATATGTCTTATTTGTATCACTTATGTTACTTGTATATTATTTGTAATTCGAAACTCATTCCCCAAATATGTAACTGTATATTTTCAGCCTTCTGGCTGCCAAACTCTTTCAATAAACCGTTAATTATTATTATTATTATTTATATGTGTAAGAAATGGACCTCAATATTTATTGGCCATCATCATTTTTTTTTAGCATACTTTTTTTTTTTACCAAACAGTGAGAGGACATCACTAAAGTTCATATTGTACTCTGTTTTAGTGACTGTGAAGTGATTATTGCTGTTTTATTGTGATTGTAAAGTTCTTTGGCTGTGTTGTTGTGAACATGATGTGAGCATTAGCAACCGGTATCATTATTTTATGTTATCAGCATTTTTTTCCACAGATACGGGAAATTACTAAGTTTCATAGTGTACTGTACTATACTGTACAGGTACAGTACATGTACTGTACTCAGTCTTAGTGATGTGTTTTCTTTGCTTTAGTAACTGTAAAGCTGCAGTCACACTAGATTTTCTGCCCAGAATAAATCTACTGTAGCATTGATTTTTCAACGAGCTCCTCAAGCTGTCTCTACAGGGACAACTTATTTGCTGTCAAAAGTGGAAAGTTACGGAGCGTCTGAAAATCCACGGTACAGTGGGTTGAAATTTGCTATGGTCTATTGTACTATTGAAATTTACACCTTTCTCATTTTTTATTATTAATGTTAAAATGTACAAAAATATAAAAAGTGTATTTCAATAACAAAACATGAGCAAAAATGTCCTAATAAATAAATAAAAAATAATATGAATACATCATGACGGGAATTTCATTTGACTCGAGTACTTGAGTCACTTTGTAAACAAACATCGCTTGGACACTACAATCATTTCACTTTCATCTTGGTCTTCTTTAACAGGACCACACATCTCACTAAAACAGTTAATGCTGCCATAGAAACATACAATGAAGCCATCTTGCTCTCCAACTGAGCTCAAACTAGCTGTATGAGATGGGCGCCTGGTCGATGGTTCCTTTTGCCAGTGTGTGTATTGTACCGTTGACTGATTGCCTGTGATAAAATGATATCGTGGAAATATTGCACGAAAACTCGAGTGTGATCATAGCTTAACGTGCTTTTGCTCTTACTGTGAAGTGCCTTAATGACTCGGAGGCATTTCCTCTGCTTTAGTGACTGTGAGGCACTTTTGCTCAGACTGTGAAGTGCTTTAGCAATTGTGAGATGCTTTTGCCTTGACTTTGAGGTGTTTTTGCCTTGATTGTGAAGTGCTTTAGTGACTGTGAGGTGATTTTGCTCTGACTGTGAGGTGCGTCCCTCTGTTTTGTTATGTGAAATGAACAGTGTAATATTTAAAATGTCTGGCAAGCATTTTGCTCACCATCTTTTAGGTCAAGTCGAAGGCTACACCTCCTGTCCCCATTCTTCAGACTACCCAATTCTGTGTGGGACTCAGATTAATGTCTCCACTCCATGTTAAGAGTCCCCTTAGCCTCAAAGGGGACATGTAATAACAATGACTTGTTATTATGAAGTGGTGAGCGTTGCATAATTGTGGGTGTCCAACTGGCCAGGAACCTATCCCATTGAGCCCCATGTTATAATGAACCTGATTTGCAATTGGGTTTCCAGAAACCTAACCCCTTCACAAATAGAGGTTTACCTGTACTGGAGAGGCACAAGACATTGATGGGGAAGCCACCACAACACAAAAAGTTCGTAATAAACCACTAAAATTTCATGTAAATGAGTGTAGGTAGTGAGGTGCAGTCCACTAGTGATATGTATGACTATGGGACTCAGACTGAGGCACATGCCGCGTGACACCCACGCACGTATGAACACACACACTTTCTGGACTGATGCACGATTTCCCGGACATCTTTAAATATTTCCAGTATATGGAGGGGCAGTCTGTAGAACCTCAGAGAGTATGAAAAAAGAGAATTCTGGTGTATTGAAGTAAGATTTATCGAGATTTTACTCTACTCATATTTTACTCCTGCCAGTTTTCTTCATAACTCTGTGGAAGGTTTTTAACGTCACATATAAAGAGGGGGACTTGAATAATCACCTCTTGATCAGGCCTCCCATTTTTATTTGTTTCTCAAATCTGACCTCAAAAAATTCACCAAATTGGAAAATATGATAATCTGCTGCTGTGTATATTTTTTAATGGAAAAATACCCAAATTCTATCTAGAATTAATCTATCAAATGCAAAGTCCTTTTTATAAGGTTTTATTATCTGAATTCTTTAAATGACACAGATATTCCAGAAATCACATTTTGCATTCATGAGTTATATTATTTTTCTGAACTGTGAAGATTTTTCCCAGCTGGGAAGAATTGTTATATTACGTACTTGTACAGGATCTCTATCCCCTTCCCCTCCAAAATATTTGTGAAAACAATATATGAGAAACAATTAAATGAAGATATATTACCTGAAGGAATCTTGCACATATTCTACCTCCAATTTTTTCCTCTACATCATGAATGTTTCTTTCTTGCAATACTCCTTGCTCAGTTTTTATTCCCTGACTCCCAGTTTTGTTTCACATGGTATACCTCTAAATATCTTAACCTACTTACCACTTCCATTTCTTCCCCATTCACACTTATACTAAGATACCCAGTTCTCCCAAATACAGTACAGTACAATGACGTGCCCAAATTTACCATGCATGAATATATACTGTCAAACTATTCCATCATCGAAAATTTTCTTAACTTCCAGGTATCTTGTATAATCAGAGTACCAGTGGAATTAATCAAGCAGAGAAGACAAGCACAGCTATATCAGTCTTCCTTCAAAGTCATCCAAGATACCTTACATAATGAAGGTTTCAGAGGTCTTTTTCGTGGATATTTGAGCACTGTGGCAAGAGAGATACCATTCTCACTCATTCAGTTTCCTTTATGGGAGTTACTGAAGGAGTGGTGGTCACAAAGTCAAGGACATTATGTGGATTCTTGGCAGGCTTCCCTTTGTGGGGCATTTGCAGGTAAGTTGACAATTGTCAGATTCTTTCAGAAATGTTGTTTTAGTGAAAGGCTGTGGATACTGACAGTTCAGGTTTTACTATGAGTTTCGAGGACAATAACAAAGAGCTGTCTGGTACAGGAGAGTTCACTAATCAGATGGAGTGACATGTGTTGGAAGGCTTGTTTAGCTAGTCAGTGGATCCTTGGTATTAACTCCTTACTAATTTCTAGCTGGCTACTGTTAATGAGAGCTGGTTAGCAGAGGGTATCTTGCTAGAGATCCTGTACAGTAATCCTTTTTTTTCTAGTTGAGCTCACAGCCAGGTGGCTGGCTACCTTCCTTCCTCCTTGGGGTTCATCGATAGTCAGTAAAACACCGAAATGAAATGGTGGATTGTTCCTGCATTTAAAATAGCAACTGTAACTGTTGAACAAAGTGTGTGCTAGATAGATAAATACAGATAAAATTAGACTTTCTTCCTCTAAAGGGCAACTTTTTCTTGTAATCCACCATTATAAGTGAGATAGTTACAATAGGAAATGCTGGACAATATTAAAATGCCAAATGAAGAGTGGGCCACTGTTATAGCTCCCTCAGAATGGCTAGCACATCAAGAGCCACCTGACTACTGGCTCAGATAAAAAAAAGAGGTTACAGAATCAATCCTTCATTTACTTATTTATTTAGTTGTTTTTTTATACTTAACACTCTTGGGTTTAACGAGGCGCTCTGGGGTCTGGTCGGTCACTGCACCACACGAGAGATAATTGTACATAATGAGTCATAACCAGCTTGCTATTGGAGATAAAAAGGTGGAGTTTGTTGCATTGGCATTGTAAATGAATTATCTAAAAACAGTTACATGTAAGTACAGTAAACACTTGCAATTTGCGATTTTGACTATTTCCTGTAAGCAGACGGTAGCTTACGAGCCTCTCCCACAGCATAACGAGTCACCCCCACGTGCTCGCAGTATCTCCTCTCCCTTTGTTTGCCTGCGACGCAGCATCTCTTGTGTTGTACTCAAAACTTTAGTGTTCCTGTGTGAAATGGCCACTAAAAGACTGCCTAGTGTCAGTGCTAGTGATGCTATTGGAGTGAAACATTTAGAGATGTCATAGCCAAGAGGAAACAACTATCAAGTGTCATGGCCACTACTGAATAACTCACGTTCTGAAATAACAGCTGTGGTTAACAGACCAGGATATGTACAATAGACGCTCCTTGCTACCTTTGGCTGATAGTTAAAGGTGACATATAACACAAACATACTGTGAGAAAACATCCAAGGAAAACTATTCTTTATACTGTGCAAATTGGATTAGGATTGAGAAATATTAATTTATAACAATTAACAAACTATTATATTCACAAACATTCACAGATATTGACACTGCATGGCCTTGTGGCCCAACTCATTTAGTAAATTATCAATCTTAATCTCACGATAAGGCTCTTCCTCCATTCACAGTTGTTTCACTTAGTCTTCACCCTAAATGCTGGTGAATAAATTAATAACAAAATACAGGATATACAATGGATGAAACAAGATTACAAGCACTGACCTGATCTAACATTTACACCCTGTATTCACCCGTGGAAGAGAGAGTGTTTTCCATCTAAATAACAATACATCTTCTCCAATTATAATATTGACTCATAGCTTCTTTGTATAAGTACATAATATTATATGATTACAAAATATTAGAAATTAAATTGAACCAATACACAAAATAAACTAATTTCAAAGGACATACATCTTTTTACATCTTTCATAGAAAATCAAACCATTCTTACAATGGTGACTGATATAAAAGAACATATGGCACACATCTTAGTATAGTATATTAACGGTATATAAACACAATCACGATGTTTTTCAAGAAAGAACCAGCCGCTCGCCCAGCTGATTCGTCTCCCTCACCTACTCAGTCAGCTCCACCACTCACCTTCTCACTACATGCCACCTGCCTCCCCACCATCCGCTTCTCCACCATCCGCCTCTCCGCCAACCACCGCTGCATCGCCCTCTTCCAGCAGTGATCCTGATGATCTTCCTATGCTTCAGGTGGTTATGTGACGGAATCAGATGATGGGGTCACATGCCAAGACACTTACACAGCACACACATTAACAGCACTACTAAACCATTGTCTTATAACATATTACTTTATAATTTCTATTTTAAAATTAATTGATACATGGTGGCTTGATTTGTCTACTTTTGCACTTAGACAACTGATCAATGAACACACCAGGGCATATGGAGACGCATTATACACTTGTGATGTCACGAAGCTTCATAACTGCAACCACAACTGCTGAGGGACTTCATAAATTATCACAACTTGTGCTCAAATGTACTAAGTTAATTACTAAAATTATTATGTCTGATGCAAACTGGGATGTTTATAATTCAATCAAATAATAATCATATCCAAACTCTCTACTGTCCTCCCAGTCTTGTGACTGGCAAGAAGCTGCTGCGATATAAACAAAACCATTTAACCTTTGGGGGAAATCTCAACTTCTAAAACAGAATGTATTTTGTGTTATGTTTTAGTGTACACAGTGATATTTTCTTCATTTTGTCATTAAAGAAGTAAAACTTAAATTGTGTGTAGAAAACATAGCTCAGGTCAGCAGATGGCTGACCCCCATGGAAGAAAATTTAACCTAACCCTGAGAAGAAAAATTTCTATTTTCATGAATCTCATTTTTTGGGAGGGAGGTGTGGTCTGTGTCTTAACAGTCAATAATATCTTGAACATATATAATAAAGTGAATCATTGCCTTCTATTTTGTTTTTCAGGTGGTTTTTCTGCAGCTTTAACCACACCACTAGATGTAGCCAAAACTAGAATCATGCTGGCAGAACGAACACAGGGTATGGCTAAAGGAAGTATAAGCTATGCAATCAGAGCTGTACACACTCAACATGGACTTCCAGGGTACCTATTGTTTTGTTTTGTTTACTATTTGTTAATTCATATTATATCTATTGTGGGTCTGATCACTTCGGCCAGTATGTTGCACGAGATTATGGTAAAGTATATGTGTTTATCCATATTGTGAATTCTTTTCTTTTGCACAAAGTACTGTTGTGGAGCACTTATGAAATAGTAGGGGATTTGGACTAATAATCATGATTACAGTATAGAATCTCCTCTGTATTGAATATAATGTTTAAAGAAAATTTTTACTTTCAGGTTGTATGCAGGAATTATACCAAGGACACTTTGGATTACTATTGGTGGTGCAGTATTTTTTGGTGTTTATGAAAAAGCAAAGGCTATCATGTGTTCTAACTCTACATATAATGATTTATAATTAAAATTTAAATAATAATGAATGAAATTAAACTACAAACCAGTTAGCTTTGCCTTTTAAGGTATCATTTACCTGATGCCTTTCATTTGGCAGTTCATTAATTATACCCACAAGTCCTAGGTTGTAAACCTGGAATTTAGCCCTCAGCGGTACTGCAAGTCATAAGAATATGCGGACAATATGATCGCCCAGCCTTGTAATCTGGCTACAATTAGTGAAGGAAGTTGTGCTTTGGGACTTAATATGACCATCAGTTGTTGATGACCTGTGACCAGTGTAAATTTGGAACAGCCATACAAGTAAATGTGAAACTTTTTCACACTATATATGAGTGCTAAGGCTTCTTTCTCAATCTAAGAATAGTTTTTCTTTTGCCCTGTTCAATGATCTTGATACAAAGGCTATAGGTCTCTTGTCTCCATCTGGCATGACATGCACCAAAACTGTACAGCTCCCAAACCAACTGAGGAAGCATCACAGATGAGTTTGACCGGCAACTGTGACTGAAAATGTGAGAAACCCCGGTGAAACTATTTCTTCTTTTATTTGGGCTGTGAAAGGGATTGTCAGAATGCAGTATGGGCATGGAGGATGGTAAATATGTTTTACCATAGTGAGACCATCTAATGTGTTGAGTAGTCGGGTTTTGTTGGGGGTCATATCGTAGGTAGGCCTGGTTTTGTACTGGGTGTAGTTGTTCTCAGACTTTAGCAATGGCCAGGCGTGTATGGTCCTGGTGCTGGACGGGGCTCTTTTAGCCCCTCCCTCAGCCTATTCCTTGGTACATATTTGGGTAAACATACAGACTTGCTTAATTCTCCTTGAAAACTTATAAAAATTTTAAAATTATCCTAATTATTTCATTATCATTGTCCTTTCTGTCCAATGAATTCTTTTTTATTGGATTTATGATAAAAATATATAATAATGAACATGAAACAAGTGTGAGACAGATGGTGCTGCCAGACGTGTGATTAACACTCACTGCTCTTAGAGTCCTATACCCTTTCCACACTAACCTGGCCCTTAGCCATGCCCCTGGTCTGTAGCTACAATAGCCAAATCTGGCAATAACATTTGCTGACCAGGGGAGAGAGGTACATTTTTACTTGTGTGAAGAAATGTATATTCCATTTTATGTGTTTGCCCTTGTGACAATTATTTCTTTTACGTGTGTGTGTGTACACACACACACACACACACACACACTATAATAACAGCCCAATCCCAACCATTATGAAAATTATCAACAACTCATAATCAACCAGGTATGTATTCACTTCCAGCCAATCTTACCTTTTTGCACTGTCACTATGTTGAAATGCCCTGTAGTATAACCTTCTCCCCACTTAGTTATTATATATCATATTTGAATCACTTATGTTATTCGTCAATCCAGTGACCCATTCCCCAATTTTGTAACTGTATATTTTTAGCCTTCTGGCTGCCATGCTCTTTCAATAAACCATTAATTATTATTTACTATTATTAAAATGCATACAAATAAATAATACAGTGAACCCTCACTTTACGCGGTCAATTGAACCCACGGCGGCCCGCGTAAAGTGAACAACATAACATATGGGATTAATTGAAATAGAGACCGGGCCGACCCCAAATCTCCACTTTTTCAGACACAATTCCTACATTGTAGTAAAAATAACTTCTTAATTTTATGATGGTATGCACACACAATTAATAATTATGAGAAATATTCATAATATTAGGTTTTTTAACACTTACATTAGTAGAAAAGATGGCTGGGCACACGGGGATGGGGGGGTTGGTTCCGAGGCAGAGGGCAGATTATTGGCCCTCACCTGTATCAATTGTATCACTATCCACCACAGGCTTGCAGGGCCTCTTTGTCAAACCCCTCAAAGTCCATAAAAGTCCATATCCTCACTATCGCTGACTTGGGCCGGCTGTGGTGGGTGGCGGGTGAAGAACTCGGTAATGTTTTGATGACTGGGCGACCTTATGCGCACCCTGCTCTCCCCGTAAAAGGGTACACACACCGCGGAAAGTGAGCATTCCGTGTTCAGCAGGGTACCGCGTAAACGTGGAAACGCATAAAGTGGGACCGCCTAAAGCGAGGGTTGATTGTAATGGGAAATCCTCTCACGAATAATAAGAAACACGACAACAAAATGTAATGTAGAAAAAATCCGAGTCTACCCTCAAGTCAACTCTGTGCTTTGTAATTTAAGTTGAGTTGGTTGAATTGTCAGATGGCACTAGCTGGGTTGATACGTAAGTCAAACTTGCAGAATTTCTTTTGTAGCCATCTAGCCAACCCAACATGAAGGATGTCAGTAATTGTGGTGTAATACTGTATACGTTCTCACAATATGTATGTGGGATGGTGTGTGCATGCAAATGAGAAAAAATAAATGAAGTAGGTTACGTATATCTACCCAAAAATACGAGTTAAAAGAACCGTAAACACCTGACAGCTTGGCCCAATAGCCTGGTGGTTACAATGATGAGCCAGGCATATGTATGGAAGAAATACATGTCCTTCTTTTCTCTCTTCACTTGTTTGGGACCTGCCAGCGGCTGGGGGTGTTTGGGAGTCATCATAAGCGCAAGGAGCACAGTTGTGAAGAGAGCCGAGTAGCACACACGCGAGACGGACAAGTGTTTATCCTGGACAGAGGCGGAGCACGGGTGGGCCAGCCTCCCGAGACGAGAGAGACACCACAAGACTCGCACGCTCCCTGTACCAGCCGCGAAAATGCCAGCAACTTTAAAACTACCCGTAGACATTCTTGGGTACATCCAGGGTGTCATCCGCGAATAAAAGATGACCCCAAAATAAAAATACGCGATTTTTTCGGACATGATGCAGCTGATTGGTTTCCCTGAGCTACTTACCTCCCCCCCGGACTGCTCATATATAAGCATGTATTTATATCGACCTTTTATGATAAATATTTAAAATCTTTTAACATCCTCTCTGAAGTGCTTATGCATTGATATCATTTGCACTTTGATAGTTCACATAATTATTTAACATTATTTTAGATAATAACAGGTCTGCTTACTAATTGTGAACACATTTAGTTTGAATTTTCTATGAACCATTCAGCTATAAGTATAGAAAAGGGGCGTGGCTTATGGGCCAGATTAGCGTGGAAATACTAAAGCTCTTGTCAATTTTTTTTCACCTTAGTACTTTTTCCTACAATACATATACATGTGTGGTATTTCAATAATATCCCTATATGCAAAATTATGTAAGGACTCTAAAGAGCAAATGAAAAAAAAAATGTTTAACGGACTAACTGCACAAACATGTCCATGAAAATATGAGATAATAATAATCATTGTATTAACTGGGGTAATGCCGCCTAAATCTTACCTTGTAATTCAATTGTCAGTAGGAACATTATAGAATCTAGTCTCATTAAACATACCGAATCTGCTAACATAAATATGAGTAATGGTATATACAAATTGGGTAATTTTGTCACTAAGAAGATTTGTAACCAGGTAAAAGGGTTGTAGACACCTGCTGTCCCCTGGGACTTGATCTCACTCTCTTGTATATATTGACCTCGGAAGTTTATGTTTTCTTTTTTCCTATGTGGTTATCAGCACACATACACACAGGTATAGTTTATTTATATATATATATATATGTATAGAGAAAGAGAGAGAGAGAGGCTAAAACTTTAGGCATGCTACCAGTCAGGTAAACATTAATTCCTTAATGTTACAAAAATACAACGAACAAGCACACTAAAATATTTATTCACTAGATATTACCAACTAACAAAAGCAATTAAAATATAATAAAAGCTTTTAAGGAATTATTTGTATTAGAAAAGTGTTGACAGATCTCGAAAAATAAAATAATATAAAAAAAAATTATATAATTTTGTTCGTTGTATAATTTCAACATTATTCGCCTTATAAACAACCGGTGTAGGACTGCTGTAAAGAAACTCCTGTTAGCTTTACTGAATTAATTATGTTCCGGTCTCCTCTAACACGCTTACTAGGTGCAGGAATAGCGTTTTCTGCATCAACAGCAAGTGTGGGAATATCAGCCAGGTGTCAGTCAACATTGCCTAAAGTGTATTTCACCATGCATGCTGATGGCCAGGCCGTTGGTCGTGTGGTGATGGAGGTGAGTGTGGTGGAGGCGGGTAATTTTATAGACCATTCCTTCCATATTAAAATCATGTTTCTCCTATAGTATTTGATGAGTTTAGAACGAATTTGATATTCATTTCCGCTCTGACCCCTGGTAGGCTTAGCTTAAACTAACCTAACCTAACCTAACCTATCCTATTCATTTCCAACTAATATAAATGGGGCTCAAAAGACTCAAAATAATGAGATCTAAATGTTTCAGTAGTTTTAAACTTTGGGACGCTCCATGTCCGATAGTACAATACCTTAGTTAGAAGTGGAAGGACCAGGGGTAGGTTTAGGGTCAACTTCTGATGCTTGTTCTTTCTAAATTTACAAGGCAATTTACAGTGCAGGCACTCAACAGACGTAGGGAGAACACCGTGATTACCTAGGAATTGGGAGTGAGAGACGAGTGTGGCCGCATTACAGCTGGGAAGACAACGTAGTGCATGCCTAGGTGCCTAATTATCTACAAAAGCATTTGCACAAGAAAAGATGGTATTGTTTTACTTTTACACAACCATGGAATCTTTGGAATTTTATCTCTGCAATCAATAGTTTAGACAATTCTAAGACACTTTTCATCTATGGCATTTCCCCCACAAATGACATATATACTGTATACCGGAGGGGGGGGGGATCCCAAAAGGTGAGATGAGGTTAGGTTAGGTCATTTTAGGTCATTTGCAAGGGAAACATTGTAGAAGAAAAGTTTCTTAGAATTGTCTAAACTATTGATTGCAGAGATAAAATTCTTCAGATTCCAGGGTTGTGTGAAGGTAAAATTATACCAAAATGATTATCATATCAGAACTCACTGATGAAAATAAAGTAAGAAAATAAACAGTAAAACAAATAACTCGTCCGTGGGTCAGTCGCCAATATTAACCAGTGATACTGTAGTTAGTAAAGTTGGGGAAAACGTTTATCACTCGAAGGAACTTTTGTAATTGCTCTAAAATTTCTAGTGATATATTTGCATGGTAATAAATAAGAAAACCAATGCAAAAATGCACACCTAATAGAACCTGACCTACCATACCTAACATAACCAAACCTAACTAAACTTACTTAACCTAACCAAACTTACCTAACCTTACTTAACTTTCTAAATGGGGGAGGGGGGTCGGGGGGGATTGCCCCACATATAGAGTTGTGGTAAAGGTGGAGGAGACAGTTATCACTAGAAAATTTTTTGGGAGATGCACCAAAATTTATGATTTTTTTTTTTTTGGTCATATATAGGTTAGGTTAGACAGGGTGTAACTATGGGCAAGTATCTTTACACCAATTGCCTCTGTATACCCAGCAGTAATTGGAAACCTGGATGTTAATGAATTGCGGATCGTATTCTGGGGTAATGGTTAGCCAGTGCAGTTGGCGAGTTGTCCGGTCTTCTCGGACTATTCCTTGACACTGGCTCATGCAGCTCGTTAACTCGGGGTGTGGTTGTTGTGTTGGCGACAGCTTCTACACCTTAAACAAATTCACACCTAGATGGCCCTTGGGTTGGCCATCCTCATTACACAAGGGGCAACCATTATTGTATAGGGAGAAAGAGGAAAAAATTATTCAAAAATTTTTCCATCGGAAATTTATAGTTTTGAGTTATTTTAACATTTATTTGATAATATTTGGACAATCAGCACGAGTGTTGATGTGACATAATACTCGTGCGCCAATCACCACAAGTCTTGATTCTCTAGCAGTTGGAAGAAAACGTCTGTGTGAGAAGGATGTACATTGGTTGATTGGCTCGTTATTCAGCACATATTGGACTGAGGCAGCAGCCGTTGACATTTTTAGGGCTCACTGTGGTTTTGTTTCATCTGTAAGATGTCTGAGATATAATTCAGAGTGTCAGTACTCTGTAGATCACCATGCATGGTACAGTACTGTGGTAAGAGACGGACACTCACAGAAACACCACTTCCCCATTCAAGGCGCATCACTTTATCCTCCGGTATTTCTTACTTTCGGTAAATTTCTTACACACTAGGTTAGGTTAGGTTTTTCAGCTTTTTGCTTTTTTAGCCTAACACTTTTTTTTTTATATCAACAACAACTCATTTCCAACGGTAATGAAGTTCAAATTTGTATTTAACACGATGATTTACACTATAAAAACCCTTTTTCAAAAGTCAATTAGGTGTTTGCAACTACAGTACAGTGATGTCCCCGTTAGCCGGAACATTTGGTGCAGATTACTTCCGGGTAATGAGACGACTCTCTCAAAGACGGAAAAAAATCCCTCATCCCCAGAATTGACTGATGGCTGATAGAAATTTACAGAAAGCATTCGCCATGTCATTGAAACATAATTCGGCACACACTGTAGATATTTTTGGCATGTTAGCAGTAGGTACCGGGTAACTGCAGCAATGTCATGCAACCCTTGAAATTTAAGCAGGATAGAAACAAAGATGGCCGACCTAACCCTGGGTATGCTCCAGAATGCAGTGTGTTAAACAATGATGTAGTTGTGGGACAGGTTTATTTCCACATGGACAAATATGATGGTAAAATTATTAAGTAAACCAGTAATTTTTTTTTTTTTTGCTAAGATACCAAAGGATAGTACAGTAGCTGTACAGTATGAGTTTCTTCTGTTACAGTTCAGTACAGTGGATAAATGCACAAAAGGATTTTGTTGGTGTATATTTTATTTTCAGAAATCTTGTATTATACTGTATGTTTAATCAATAGTATACATGACTATTTATTTTTAACAGCTTCGATCAGATGTGGTGCCAAAAACAGCTGAGAATTTTCGTCAGCTTTGTACTGGGGAACAAGGATTTGGATTCAAAGGTTCTATCTTCCATCGCATTATCCCTGGCTTCATGTGCCAAGGAGGTGATTTTACCAATGGTAATGGTACTGGTGGCAAGTCGATATATGGACATAAATTTAGGTAAGAGATATATAAGTACTGGACTTAGCAGAATATAACTTGCATTGTTGGAATTCTTGTAAAATAGTGATTAATTTGAGTATAAACATCACATAGTTTGCACAAGAGATAAAAATTTTAGTCTTGTGTAGTAGATTTGAATACAAAGTGTGTACAGTAATGTTGCTCAAAATTATGTTTTTTTCACATCTAATTTACATTCAATATTTGTTTAATTTAAGTTTGTAGCAGTCCATGGTGCTTTAGAGGCACAGGAGGTGTATCAGTAGGAGATCAGAGGTGTATTATTATTACCTGACCTGTTGGTCCGGCAAAACAGATAATCCGGCAAGGCTTTGGAACCAAGGGTGCCGGAAAATCGGTGGTAGACCTGTACTACATTACATTTGCACTAACTAGAACTAATATGGTAGACCTTTTCACAGTACCTGTATAGCATTATTTGAGTAATCGATAAAAAAATTCTTCACTTGCTACTGCTATTAGCTATGTATTCCTTAAATTGTTCAACTATATTATTGACTGATATCATTAGATGAATTATTTCAGGCATCCATAGCTGTGGCTTATTGCATGTGACACTCTTACCACTGCAGCTGTAATATGACTTAACTATTTTGACTTATGTAATTGCAGGGATGAAAACTTCAAGCTTCAACATACTGAGCCTGGCATCTTGTCTATGGCCAATGCTGGACCCAACACAAATGGATCACAGTTCTTTATAACCACTGTAGCTTGTCCTTGGTTAGATAATGCACATGTAGTATTTGGAAAAGTAGTAGAGGGAATGGAGGTTGTAAAGGCAATAGAACAACTGGGATCTCGTTCAGGACGTCCTTCTAAGATGGTAGTGGTAGCAGACTGCAATGAATTGAAAGAGTAAAAAAAATTTTTTTAATGGTTATATTTTAGACATGTATAATACTTTTAATGAAATAAATAAATAATTAATAATATAATATCATAGTTTTAATATTCATTGTTTAGGATCATGGGGAAAAATCACAATACAGTACTGTACAGTGTTAAAAAAATACAGCAGTTTCCTCCATTCTTCGAGTACAAGTTGTTTTAGTTGCACTGAGAGTAGTACCACTTCCAGCACTAACCTTAATCTTATCAGCATTGGTCCGGATAGTACGCACCGTTGTGGGGGTTAGACCAAGCACAACGACTATGTCCACAGCACGTTCCCCTTTTCAAATCGGGTTAATACAGTACATCCATTTTCGTAGCAAGGATAATGGTCTTACGTTGCCTCTTCACTACACTAGCATCAGTATTCATAGCATTAAGGAGAACTCATGGCATCCATAAGATGATTGAGAAAGTCCAGTTGAGCCAGACTAGTGTACTGTTGGACTAAGTGTGAATCATGGGTTGAAGGTCATTCTATTTACGTCTGTGAACGTGTAGCGAACATAACTTCCACAAATATCACATAAAAATACATGAGAACAATGATCTGGAAAAAGGATAAATGTATCAGAACTATGTGAGGTGTTGGAAGTGACCCAGAAACTATACTTGAAAGGAAATATCTTGTATACATCAGTGTGAACTTAATACACCTCGTATCCTCGCGTGACGTATACCCACGACATGTACAGTGATCAGAGAATCTTATGTATGTGTTCAAATAGTGCAATGTGTGAGAGGAAGATCCCTAATTACAGTATTAAGTGAAGTGGATATACCCACGCCATGAACATTCGGCTTTTGTTTTGAGGGAGCGTCCTTTGTACCCGCCTCGAGTGTGCCGCGTTGATATTATAACCCAATGAATTTACCCACGAACTAGCAAACCAGAACCTTACCTTCGTGTGTAATTTAGGATTAAAATATGTGTTTTATAAGACATGAGGTTACAATATACAGGAAAGTGTTCATGTGAGAACCGTAAAAAATAAAAGTAAAGATTGGAAACTGTAGGCCTACGCGGTGATGAGTGGCGGGGCACTGCCCTCAGTGTCCTCCATTCTACTGTCACCTCAGGTCAGTGTCCTCTATCGGGCTACAACCCGCCCTGTAAAAAAGGCTTATATAGCAGTTATTACAGTTTAAAGCTTTGCCTGATGTGTAAGTGAAATAGTAATGTTTTGGGGTGTGTGATAACTGCCCATCAGGCATTATTTCTCAGTGTCCTCCGTTCTACCGTCACCTCAGGTCCCATGTGGTCGGAGTGCCTTGCTGGGCGGCGGCCATTATCCCTGTGAGCGTCCCACCAGGTGGTGACTACTCCCAGCTATGCCAATCCACTGTGAACCTGTGGATTCCCAGCACACCACTCCAAATGAGTGGGAACAAATAAGGAAATGCTTGAGAAACTCCTCGGTCTTCACTTGGAGCGACCTATAATACCGGGCATAGAAATAGTACTGGTATGTCTCTTGGTGTAGCCCTCGTCTCTACCCACCGAGGGCGGTTTGCGAACGAGGTGCCTCATATGTATACCTAGAAATTACAAGGAGTCCCATACTTGCAGGTGTGGAGTGTAACAGGTGTGTTGAGATGTTGCTACAGGGAGGTGAGATGGTGTTACTATGTATGATAACCTACGGTGGAGCAGTCTGACGTGTTAAGGGGTAGTGTAAGAAGGAATGACCCAGGTAAGAAGGTCACGGATTGTTATGCAATAATTATGTGGATGACACGCAATTAATGTAAGACGTCTGGTGCCGAGCAGGGTAACCAACATCTTCGTTGTTCTTCTGAGGAAGGCCAACTCACTTGTATGTTTTTTTTCCAGTATGTTTTATAAGGAATAAATTACTAAAGACATGTTATGGTTTCACCCTTCTTTCCCCTTATCGATCTGGTCAATGAAAAACCTAACCCAATGCCTAGTCCACTCTGCACGCTACCTAACGAGCTACATACTGCCCAGAAGGGGTCTGGTGGCAGCAACCCTTAAAATTAAGACTATAGTTAAGTTTTCCCCTTAGAATTAGTGACCCCAGAATCTGGCAGTATACCTAGACCCTCGACATGCTACCGAAAAGATTTGAGGTTATGCAGTAACCACTGAAGTAAGTAAAAAGAACACTTGAAAGAACGAAGACAGTTGAAGTGAGTAAGATAAGGGCAGAGTTAAGAGAGAGAGAGAAACCCCTGCTCGTACAACACTACCTCTCCCTACACACAGCCCTTCCTTCCCTCCCTCCACATACCACTCCTCAAACCCTCCACATACCACCCTTCCCTCCCTCCACATACCACCTCTCTCTTCCTCCACATACCACTCCTCAAACCCTCCACATACCACTCCTCAAACCCTCCACATACCACCCTTCCCTCCCTCCACATACCGCCTCTCTCTCCCTTCACATACCACCCCTCCCTCCTTCCTACCACCTCTCCCTCCCTCCCTCCTTCCCTCCCTCTACTTACCACATCTCCATCCCTCCACATACCACTCCTCCCTCCTTCCACATACCACCCCTCCCTCCCCCCACCACCCCTCCCTCCCTCCACATACCACCTCTCCCTCCTCCACATACCACCTCCTCCCTCCACATACTACCCCTCCCTCCCCTCCACATACCATGTCTCCCTCCCACTTGGAAGTAGATCATCGACTTTTTGGGAGATATTAACATGTTTTCCAAAGTAGATTATCATAGAAAACAGGAAAGGGATTGATAAGTTTGAAATATTCATAATTTATGAATTTATGCCTTCCCAGAAAATCTACCATTTTTTATTTTTTCATGTTATATAGTAACTGTACAGATAAGGGAACACGAATTGATTTAGTTTTACTTGTTATTACTGTGACTTTTCTGCTCTTATTTTATAATTTCTATTGTGTACTTTGCATTCATTTACACTTGCACTTCTATGAATGAAAAACAATTGAATGATTATATTAATCACTTACATTGCTTTTCATTTCATTGAAGGCGCACTGTATAACACTGGCGTTATAAAGGGAAAAGTACATGCTGTATTTGTACTATTAATTGATCAGTCAGTTAAAAAAAGCATTTATTTGAGCTCTTAAATGCAGCGAAAAATAGTATAGCTCAGCAGCTCTTGCTAGATGCCGCATGTGTGGTGGGCGGCGACCCATCTGGTTCCCGCCAGTCGCGTGGGAGCCGGCGTCCTGGGCGGTAGAGGTCATCACACATTTCCTCCAACTGGTGTTTTGCTGCTTCTGCTCCTCACAGTTCATACCAGTTTGATTTTGTGAACTTAGGAATCAGATTCCATCCTTACACCCGTCCAAAATAAAATAGTAAGTTTATATTTTTAAAGAATGACAATTATTTGAAATCCTATAGTCTAACGAACAAGACCAAAATAAATTGTTTCTGTAGATGCGAGTGTGATCAAGGAACCTATAGGTTAATAGGAAAAAAAGTCACTTGTAATTCAGAAACTAGATTCCGGTGCTGGAATAGTAGCCACCCTGCTCACAGTAATGCCCACAATTCTTCTCAGTTCACTGCATCATACTATTTATATAAGACTGAAATGATCTATGAACATTATTGGCTGCGGTTCCAGCCCCACACTGGGTGATGGATGACCAACCAGTTTATAGGCAACAAATGTTTGTTCTATCACTCTGTATTTGTATACGCGATTCATTTATAAATTGAAACTAATTAAAGCTGTTAACAAGCTAGGATGTACAGTATATATTCAGATTAATACAGGTGGTGGCCAGTTATATTTACTATAAAACAACAGTGGTTTGAGCACCTTCATACTCCAACGTTCTTTTATTTCTGTACTTTTCTTATATTACTTTACTTAGTCGTCTTCACCACTGTTAGCCGCTAAGGGGGTCGGTCACGTGTACTGGTTCCAGGGTGTATCTGTACCTGCGCCAGTGTTGGTGGTCAAGCCTGGTCTGACGCTCGGTGTCGTCCATCTCAGAGAGTCAGTCAGATTATTCCAAGAGTTCACAACTCGAACTCCAAAAAAGTTTGCCCTGATAATTTTTTTATTTATTTATTTTTTCATCCTCAAGCTTTGATCTTTAGTGGGGTGAGCACCCGCTAGTTCCAGGTATGAACATTTGCCTGAGTAATGCTCTCTGAGGTGTTTATATAGACTTCTATTCCGCTACTCATTGCCTGCCTATACTGTAGTATAAGCTAGGCACCTGCAAGTGTTTAATCTCTTTGGGCACGTTTTTATATTTAAATTACCTCTATCTGAATTATGAACCTAAGGTGGATAGTTGCATAAATCTCTTACTTCCTCATATATATATATATATATATATATATATATATATATATATATATATATATATATATATATATATATATATATATATATATATATATATATATATATATATATATGTATACAGTATATACGCGTTTGTCAATACCCCAGGAGTTTAATTGATAAGTAATTTCCAATAAAAAAGCTCAATGAATGGCGTCCCTTGAATTCACGAGGCTGAAGTAGGTTTCTGCAATTTGTTAGGTTGAAGTTGGGCTCAGGAATATACTCTCCTGGAGAGGGATATCTGGAATGCATAAGTTTACGTGTGGTTTCAGGAACACATTAAGCTGAAATGGGTTTTCTAGATTTCACTGAGCTAAAAGGGTTTACAAATTATATGCCGGAGCGTAAAAATGCAAGGCACCTGTTCTTTGGTGGGGAGAAAACTAAAATAACACCAGTTGTCTTTTGTAGAAACAGTGACCTAGTGAACGTTGTTTAACAACCCAGGCTGCTGAAGCGCCTACGACAAAAAATGTGATGGGGCAGAATAGATAGGTTACAGCCTTACAGTATACTCCTGAAGTATAGTCGGTAGTTTTAACTTATATTATGACAAAAACTAATGAAATTATAACGTTTGTAGATATGTCAAGACTGATAGATATTTTGTAAAGATACTGCGTATCTTTTGGCATGTTATGAAGTACATGCAGACAATAACTTCTTTCAGTTTAACGGTGCTCAGGACGATTAAATTAAGGCGGACAATTGATGCCTCTACTGAGATTTTATCCGATTTTGCTAACCCGTTGTTTTGAGGGGAGTGGTAAGGTGCCGTACTAAAAAAAAAATCACGTTTTGGCTAATAATGAATGCAGTGCACGTATCTAAGCATTAAGGAACCGTTCGTTTCTTGGGTAACAAAATGAAGTAATGAAGGCAAAAATAAAATACTCAACAGCATTTTTGTGGAACAGCGGCCAGTTGTCCTTACTTCCTCCATTTTCTTTTTCTAGCGGATTTTCTTGCATCATATATATTTTACTTCCACCTGGTCATGTGTGTGTGTGTGTAAAAAGAGGAACCATACAACTACTACAGCTCTTATTTCGCATAAATAAGAAAAACTTGATGCAACTCGTAGTTTTTAATAAATTTGGTTGTATCAGTTACATTTTACATCCGTTAGTACAAGTTAAAAAAGAAAGTCCCTTTCATTTGACGGTATAAATCGTGAGTAAATAATTTGGTGTGCCCCTGAGCAAGGGGTGGATGAGTGTTAGTGAACTGGGGGACGCTTCTCAACACCCACGTGCCCTCATCCCACCAGCGATCGATATTGCCTTCTGTTGCTTGACACAAGTTAACATTTGTTTATAATAATAATAAAAAAAATTAACATTTGTTTACCGATGAAAATAACTGTCTTGAAAGAGAATGTTTCAACACATTTCCAATTTATTTTATCCATCTTTCAGCAGCTCCATCTGTCTATTTGAATATCGTTTCTAACACAGGATTCAACAACTTTAAAATTTCTTTATAAGTTCGTATATAAGTTATTGTAAAGCCTAGAGGTAAAGAGATGCCCTTTTGCTAAAAATACAAAACAAAACTATGGCGGGCAATAGGAATGACCATGTTTTATTATTTGCAATTTCAGTTATATTCACTTGATATAATAGCCATGAAGAATTTTGGCAGTGTCGTTTAGAGGAAAATCGGTGTGATTGCAATTTGTATAGTCCAAGGTATATTATACCACTGCAGTCTGCAGGCAGCGTGATGGTGATCACACACACACACACACCTAACATGGCAACACGTGTGCTGCACCACATTGATTGCACGGAGCTCACCACACTTTCTCCCGCCTCTATCATTAAGTAGCTTCGCGTCACGGATCGTCTGGTAGTTAAAATAGTGATTATGTCCTTTGTACGAGGGTTCAATTTTTTTTTCTTCAATTCAGCTTCGGGTCATTATGAAATATAATTATAAAATTCTCAGACTTCAAATTTTTGGAACATATTTACATCTGTGCTTAGTTTAAAGTTACGTACATGTACTGTATATGTAAAACGTACAAATGCACAAACTTTGCTGCAAGGGTGTAATCATGTAACACCCTTAGTTTAAAGTTACGTACATGTACTGTATATGTAAAACGTACAAATGCACAAACTTTGCTGCAAGGGTGTAATCATGTAACACCCATACTGAAAGTATCATTTCCAAAGTTGATATCAGTAATCGATGAAAAACGAGACGAGTGTGAAGGGGGTATATATATATATATCATGTAAATCACAATGAAAACGTGGATAAGATAAATCTTGATAAAATGCACCTTAGCTTTCATCTTTATTACTCTCTCTGTCTGCATGTAAGATCTGACTTTCAACCCTCATTAGCCAGATACGTCTTGATGGGTTATACAACCTCATTGACCTTATTTTTCACTTTCTGATTTAGTTTAGGCTTTTAGTTAACCTTCACGTTCAGTTCATACTAGGTGAATGACTTTTGTCAGTGTGCAAAGTAGGGCATCCATGTTTCCTGGACAGTTTCTAGTTCATTATCCTGGTCTTAAAAACACACATACAGTACATTTGCGTAATGTTTTGTATATTTTATAATTATTACAGTCTCAACCTTTCTACCCAAGCTTATGAGTCATGCTGAAACACACCTACATTTTCTTTCACCCAACCCACTTAAGTGGAGACCGGAATAATATTTTACCCCAGCTTCTCCCCACGACACCATTACAGTAGTCTACAGATGAGGCGAAGGTGCCACCGGTCATCCCCTGTCCCGGATTCTGAGAGGTTTGTAGGTCAATCTTCCCTCCATAACTGGGGATAAGATAATGTATCTATAGTTTCGGTACAGTCTCATTGTAATTTAGACGTCATTAAAGCCGTGGTGAAGAGGATAAAAAGTAAAAGTGAGCAATGTGTCGCTGGGGATCTTTGAAAATCCAGTTCTTGGAGTTGTCCTCAGAGGCATGTTATTGATCACCTAAATGCTGAATTAGCAAGGTCACGGGCAAGACCGCCTCGCTCCTACTGCTGCTTTGCACGTACTGTACTACCTACTCGGCTGCCAATGCTTACATGTACCATCGTTCACCATACGTGTTTGTAAATGCATTTCAGCACCTCTATATACTTGTCACACCTGAACACACATTCTCACGTGGTTACAACTGCACTTATCTTCCTACACCGATCCATACATCCTCACACCTGTGCTGCACATCTAGCCCCTGGCCCACCCTAATGCAAAACTTACCCACAATTGCCCGTACCATAACATATTTACCATCACCTATACATAACTTCTCTCGCGTGTACAGAATTTTTCACACCTCCATATTCCTCACCAAACTGTATATAATTTCCCACATCTTCATATATCTCGCCAACGCTAACTTCTGGCGCCCTCGTATATCTCTCCAACACTTTCCTACAGCACATACGTCTGCCCGGGGCTCTTGTGACTACAGAAACATGAACATTCCCGAAGCTCTGACTTAGGTTCTTGCATGCCGCCACACCATCAAGAACTTGTCGCTTTTATATAAAGTCCAGCACGACGACGGCACTCTAATTACTTAATTTTCAAGAATTTGGCAGTTTAAATACCTGGATTGCCATTACGTATATTGAAGTGATTTTACAAGGTAAGCTTCTCAGAAAAAAATTTTGTTATAAAAATATGGGCCACCGTTTGGTGAAGCACGGTTGCCTTAGGTCGAGTCGTAAAGATTGCGGGTCCAGATTCTGATGTGAAAATGCGCGATGAATATTCCTGGTACCTGAAGAAGTGAGAAACTTTCAAAGTAATTGACGTAAAGAGAAACAAAACATACATATTGGCTAAGGTTCTCTACCTTAATTTACCTTAGTTTTGTCCCGTACCTTAATTTTGTCCACTAATGTATCGCATTAGGAAACTGCCTCAGTGTAATTTTGATGTATTTGTGCTCTAAGTCAACTCAGGTGTGCACTCCTACGTGTCCTATTACCATATAGGATTCGATCA